CTTTCCTTTCCTTTCCTTTCCTTTCCTTTCCTTTCCTTTCCTTTCCTTTCCTTTCCTTTCCTTTCCTTTCCTGTCTGTCCGTCCTATTTCCTATCTGTCTTTCTGTGTTTCTTGTATTTCCTCCTGTCTGTCTGTTCCTTCCTTTCCTGTCTTTCTTCCTTCCTTCCTATCTGATATTCATCTTTTCTACTGTTTGTGTTCCTTCCTTTTCAACTTCCTTTCCTGTCTGTCTGTCTGTTTTCCTTTCTTTCTTTCTTTCTTGCTTTCTCTTCCTGTGTGTATGTCAAAGTGTGTGTGACACCGACCTGTCTTGGCAGTGCAGGTTTTGGTGGTAATGTGATGTGCTGGATTCCTGCTGTTCCAGCACAGTGTTGGTATTTGCAGGACGCCTGTAGACGTGTGTGTAAGTGAGAGAGCGAGAAACCCAGAGAGCATATGTGAGTGTGTGTGTTCGTGACAGTGCTGGTGCTGACTGGTCCTGGCAGACTGGAGATGTTGCTCTCCATGACGCGAAGTGTGCCAGAGTGGTGCTTTATCTCAGGGCTGACACACATACACACAGGGCATCATGATCCTTGCTTGCCCTTTTTCCCGTTATTCTCATATATGCGCTTTACTCTGCTCCCATGACTGTAGATTGCGGGTCCAGGCTCAACTTCTGTGTTGTGGCTGGGTTTTAATGTGTTGCGTGTGTAACCCACTGTATATGATTGCAGTTATTTAACATCTACAGAATGTTGATGTAAAACATTAATAGTATTTTAGAATTAAACCAAGCCTAAGCACTGTAATGCAGCATGATAAGTGTGCATGCATGTTCAGTGTGAGTATCAGGAGATGTGGGAATAGAGTAGCATAAGAGGCCTGACATAGAGGACCATGTGCAGACCCTGCAGTTTGTTCAGTACCATCCCAGACTTCCAGGTCAGATACTGAGTGAATACTCAAGAGAAGAGTGCAGTAAAGCTTAGCAGTGGATATACTTTTACACATGACATATATAATATACAAGGAGGTGGAGAGACAATAGAGTTTCACGATGTTTGCAAGAAGTTAGCAAATAAAGAGTTCCAAGGCTGGCCATCAAAAAGATGAATCACCTTCCTTGGTGCAGGAAACTTGTTTCAGATGTTTTTTTTTTTTTATGAATTCTCTAGTAATTCTTTAGGGGGAAAATTAAACAATGAAACTTGCAATAAATGCCCATATAAAATGGTCTGGCTGTAAAAGTCTATGATATTACCCTTTTTTCTGATATATTCTCAATTATGAAAAAGCTGCTTGTTTTCAGTCTTTTTTAATTAACAAAAACTGAGAATATTGATAATTAAACGTTCTTCAATAAGAACAGTATTTTTTGAAGGGGAAAAGAATATGATTGTAGTTTACATCTTGATGTTATTTGTTTATTAGCATTTTAATGCTTTTTAATTTGTTATAAATCAGTAATAATTTATTAATTTAAGTCATCCTGTGGCCCCCTGGAAGTTTGCTGAGCCCCCCTAATGTGTCCCCTGGTAGAGAACCGCTGATTTATATCGCAATCCAAGACTTCGAAATTTGTTCAGATTTTGCAACATTATTAAACTCTAGAGGAGAAACATGTGAGATTACCAGTTTTTTCCTCTGAAGAAAAGTCTGTATTTGCTCACCATTTAATCTTATTGCTGCTTAAAAGAAAGAGTTAGATATTAAAGAGATCTTATACATGCTTTTTCTTTTCTGTGTCTATGCAATTATTCAAAAGCCAAACGCATTGTCTCCTCTGCATTGCCATTTAATTGTATTTACAACTAGTTTTTCATGCTAACGTGAGTTCTGTTTCTCAGCATCACATCACGGGGCAAAAACCTCCTAAGCGTTCGACCAGCGCAAGCGTGTTAAAGCTTGTAGAGGTGGAGCGGTCCACCTCATCTGCTCTCTGCCAGAGCCAGTGTGTGTGATAAATGGTGGGTGTGTGTGACGGCCCCCTCCACCCTCCCAGCATGTATAAGTTTTGCCTTTAATTACCATGGCTGATAATGTTTCCTATCCATAACTGTCTGTGCAGAGAGGAGGCCCGGTCTGCTTACTGATGCACAGGAGATACCGAACCAGCCCCCCCCACTCCTTACCACCCCTCCATCCACCTCCTCTTCCTCCATCTTTCAGCTTCATCTATGTAAGCAGGGCATCTTTCATTTCAATATTTCAATATTTATGCCTAATCTTTACAAGCGGAAAAGTTCAAAGTCATTGTAAGGGTATGTAACTTTCACTGTCAATTACACTCTACTGGCAGTTGGGTCTGGGTGTTTATTTATTTATGTGTTTGACGGCCTTTCCGGCTTGCGCGAGAAGAAGGCCGGAGAAAGACAGCCCTGTCATATCTGACTTGTCTACATACTTCCTGCCAGTTCTCGGAATCCCAGCGAAGTGAAATCGCTCGGTCCGGTCCTAACAGACAGGCCTGCCTCTCTCACAGCTGTAGCTCGCTCTGTTTGTACTCTCATTGATTGCTGTAATTAGTCACTATGGTGTTTCAGCTGAAGAGGGGGAGAGTATTTGTTATGCCTCGATATAATTCCGGGTGTGCACGCATCTGCGTCCGCTTGCTTGCCTAGTGTATGTACACATTTCTCCATTGAATGTGAACTTGAATAAAAAAAGCCCAGAAAAGGTCACGCTCATTTGCATGATGGCCTTCATTAGAATATGCTAAGGACGGACGCGGGTGATTTCTTTCTCCACCGTGATGAATAGCTGCAGCATTACCTACTCGCCTCAAAGTAGTCCTCCGTCACCCTCATTTACATTTCCCTCCCTTTTATATTTATTTCGTACATTTGCGAAATACTCACAGATATTGCTTCTGAAGAGACCTGGCAACCTGTTTTGCAATTTAAATTGGCAGTGCTTTATGGGGTAATAGTCAGCTTGTCATTTAGAAGCGCCGGTGCTCTCACGGCCTCTTACGACTCTCAAAGAGTTCGATTTTAAATCAAACGACGCTTTGGGGCCTCGGCGGTAAATTAGGCTGAGCTTAAACACCCTTGATTGGACGCTTCGGGGCCATTTTAAACTATATCTTTGGTTCATGTTGAAGTATCGCTATTGTTTTTAAATGCGTTGTGGGATAGGGTGGGTCAAAAGCTGATTGTTTATGATACAAATCTGTGGATTAGAGAAAAATTGTTTGGTGTATGTGTGTTAGGTCAAGTTTTATATTTTAAGATCTGATATTTAGTTAGGCTAAGATACAAAAAAAGGCAGTGATTTAGAAAAAAAGTAAAAAAAAAAAAAAGGAAGGAAGAAGAACAAAAATCTATGAACAGCCAACATTTGTATATAGTATGTTTTTATTTATTTAGATATTTATTTTTATTTATTTATTTATTTTTATTTTTATTTTTACAGAAATTGACTTTCATTCAGCAAGGACATATTAAATTGATGTAAATACACTTAAGATTTCTATTTCAAATGCTGTTTTTTTAATTTAAATAAACCCGAGGCTGAAAGAAACTATGTATCACAGTTTCCACAGAAATATTAAGCGGCACAACCATTTTCAACTGTTATAGTAATAGTAATAATGTTCCCTTTCAGTCAGTCACGTTCGACGTTACGTCAGTCGTGACTGACGAATTGGGATCTCGCCCGAGAGCCCAATCACCTTCGAGTGTTAACTAAACAAGCCAATGACAGTTGGCGTGCGTGTTTCTCCACGCGCACCCCGCCCCGCAGCGCGAGTATAAAAGGAGAACGCGTGCAAACGCACATGAGCTTTTCGCTTCGGAGCCGAGCCTTCTACTAGGACGAATCTCCGCGAGTGTCTACAAAGAGACAGCCTAGCGTTGGTGTTACGGCGCGTCAGCGGGGGTTGCCATTCAGTGCTGCTCATCTTCGGCGTGCTGCAGCTGCCATTCTGCGGTCTCGCCGTGACTTCCCCTGGGCACTTCAGTGCTCTCTCTAAAAGAGTGTTTCCTTTTTTTCCTAAAAGAGCAAATATCTAAAAGAGCTCCACGAGCGACGGGCGTCTTTTTAAAGATGGCTTCCCGCTCGTGCGTTTCTGGAGGTGGTCGTTTCCTGGCTTCATCTGACGGTCACGATCGCTGTGTCTCGTGCTTGGGCTTTCAGCC